CTTTGGTTACGTTACTGCAAGTCGGAATAAAGACAATTAAGCCCTTAGCATTTCTGTCACACTCCATTAATTACTGTAGCCGCTGCTGTCCCGACCACTTCGTAACATATTCATCAGGTACGATACCAGTCCAGCAGCATCAGCCGCTGAAGTAGGCTATTGTTAGCTTAAACTATAGCCTTTCAAATGTTCTTTATTTTACTTTTCATACGAGATTGTCTTCTTCTCCTTTAAAAATGTTGTTCTAAAAATAAAACTCAACATAAATGTTTTAAGATTAGATTTGCGGGGCAAACAGTTTAATTTTCACCATATGTTCCCACAGCAGTCTGTAAATTAAAAAAAAAAAAAAAAAGAGTTTTTCCACTAAAACCACCAAAAAAATATATCTAGTATAAAAATGTAGTCTTCCCAAAGGGTCTCCCTCCTGTGGGCTATTTTACAGCTCCCAAATAAATCTTGAGGGTTGCAAGGAAGGGGAAAAAGCAAAAGTACCCTGATGACGGAAAAGCAAATCCTGCCATGATAATGTCCTTTATTAATATTATAGATGTGTAGTGTGCTGGATGGATCAATCATATCCATTCACAATCAGGATTAAGAGAGCCTATTTTAATGAAAATCTATTAGTCTCTCGCTTGAGACACGGATGCTGCTTAAATCAATAAACAGCATAAAAGAGAATACAACGCAGGTTTCTAAATTAAAAAAAAAAAATCCCATCTATGAAATGTGTTAAGACATCTGTAAAATCCTGAAACCCTCGATCGATACTTATAAATATTTAATTTTTTTTTTAACACAAATTGAAAACCATTAACACTGCATCCATTCTTATTATTAAAACAAATTGTCCTTGGAATTATGTGCTGTGGAAATGGAGCCAGATTGAAAGGGCATCCTCTGAAATATGTTTACTCGCTTTCATGTAAACCAATAAAGATCTGCAGGAGTCTGTAGCGTGAGCAGAAAGGTTTGATGTACAATGTCCATGATTACAGTCCCTGAATTAATCACGAGAGAGAGAGAGGGAAGGATGGAAGAGATGGAGAGAGAGAGAGAGAGAGAGAGAGAGGACTCAGTTATCTACTCAACAAAATCTTGCTCTTTGGGTCGGAGCTTATTAAAATATGGATTAAACCGATGATTTTTCTGTTTGCTTATTTGCCCCATTTCGACCAAAATAAACTGAAGGGGGGAGGGTGGGAGGAAATCAGTTTCGCCCTACGTCACGCCATGAGTAAATGTACAAATGTAAATTTCTCCTATAAATATGAAATTCCATACTTTGCCTCGGATATGCTTAAAGCTAATGCAACGTTTAAACTCATTCATGATTATTCCTCTCGTTTAACTCGGAGAAAAACCACAACGGTCAAGAGCTTCCTTTGAAAGAGGAATTAAAAAATAAGGCATGGCTTGATAGCAGGCTAAATCAGGTCCGGACTATGGGCTGCCAGGCTGCCCTGCTCGCAGATGCCCCCTCTCGCTCTGGGGAGGGGGTAGCCAGGGGGCGGGCTCGGCTCTGTGGGGAGGAATCAGCCCCGTAGGGGCGGCGATGGGGAAAGGAAGAGGGGAAGAACAAACTGGCCATCCTTTTCGTCCAGTTAGGACCCCCAGACGGGCAGAGGGCTCCTGTTCGTTGCCCCAGGGCAGTAGAGGGGGAAGAGGAGGAGGATTTGGGGGCATGGTGCCCTCAGGTGAGCGGGCAGGCCGGGCAGTCGGGACAGCCCTCGGTGTGCCGCTGCTGGCCGGTTCTGCAAGGGGGGGTCTGGCACCCAGGGTGCCGCGGTGAGCCGGGGGCAGAAAGAAGCTCCGAGGAGCGCTGGTGACTTTTTAGGTTTGCGACAAAGTCCCAGGAGTTCCGTTCCTGCAAGCTAATGGTCTTTGGGCAGCAGTTCCTTCTCTGTCTCTCTTTCCCTTTATCCCTCTCTGCATCCCTCCTCCCCAGCCCATTTTCAGGAGCAGCAATAAAGGTAATTCCTGCCCGAATCCGCCGTCAAAGTTCGCAGTGGGGTCAAAATTGCCCCCCAGTTTTGTTCCCACCTGCACCACCTTGCCCTAGGTGCCCCTAAAGCCGCGGGCTGCTCAGAGAGGGGGTGCCCGGGGCTCTCCCTGCCGAGCAGGACGGGACGGGCCCGGCATCCCTCGCAGAGACCCGCGGTGCTCAGCGGGGCTGCCCGAGCTCCTGCGCCCGCCAGGGCCGGGTCCCCGGGAGAGCTGAGCTTTGCACCGGCCCTT